CCTTACAAGTGATCTATACAGTGAAACAATAATATCCCTTGTCTCGTATTCAATATTTCTATAGATGCTACTCAAACTTCTATTAGCCCTATTGCTAGCTACAATACACTGTTTAGATGAGTTTAGTGATTTTTCAATCATAACACTAACATCTTTTTCTTCAACCACAGTATTTAAAGTATTCCTATTTAGATTGTAGCAGTAATTTGATTTGTGAAAACCTACATGCATCACCTTACATATTGGATAGTTAAACATCATCTGCCACATATTGGTCCAATGCATCAAATGATCTAAATCTCCCTGTAAGTCTACAGCATCTGTGATACAGTTAGCCACCCAAAAAATCTTAACGTTGTCTGCAAACTTCAAAATTTTGTTAGTCATTCCAGAGTGAATATCATTAATATAAATCACAAACAGCAGAGGACCCAGCACAGAGCCCTGAGTCACACCACTTGTAACTGTGATCCAGTCAGATCTAACTCCATTTATTACTACTCTCTGCTTTCTACTCTCAATCCAATTTAATAATTTCCCTCACACCCACATATTTAATTTTTGTAATAAGTCTTTTGTAAGGCACCTTATCAAACGCTTTCTGAAAAAGGTTACAGAAGCCAATCCTTTAATAACTTAATTAAGTAGTTGTAGTAGTAGTAATAATAGTGTTAATAATAATAGTACTAGTACTAACTAATTAGTATTAACTGTTACTAACAGTAACACTATTAGTAATAGTAGTACCGTACAGTGTACGGGTGTACTTCTGTCATTGACAGTGTTAAAAATAATAAAATGACACTGACAGTATACTGCATAGAACCTCCTAGTTAATTTGATGCCATGAAAATACAACCTATAATAATTTCACCCGAATCTTACAGAAAGCTTAACTTACTGTATGGCCCTGTACATTTTCGGCAGCTTCTATGACACAAGTTAATTGCTGTGTGTCATCTAATGAAACTCTAACCGATGTTCTGCTCTCAAACATTGCCATTATAGGGCGTTTAACTACTTTCGCATGCCATCTACTGGTATATTTACACAAAAATACTAAATTCTAGCTGAAAACTGCCCCATACTTTGATAAAATGCATCACTTAAGAGAAAATTGAGTTAATAAATTAGATTATTGATATCCAGTTATTTTTAGAATATTTCATACATATGTGTTTTATATATTATATGTATTATAACGAACATTTATCTGTAGGTACCATTATACATATGTTTAAAAAATATATACAATATATTTTATTCATAAACCTCTTAATCGCCCTCTCGCGGTATATTGGTGAATTATAAAGCTTGGCATACAATGCAAACTCATTCATTGAATATTATTGACTGTAGTTATGGAAGGGGTAACACTACAATTTGAAGAGATAGGGTTTTGTGTTGCGATAAATTTTAAATCAAAAAGTGACTTGGAAAACGCAAGAGTCATGTTTGAGAGTGAGATAATACCATCTGTATTTTGAGAAATTATAAATAACAGTTAGTGTGCAAATTCTGTCAACTAGGAACGCGTAGATTTACGTAAAAATTTAAAGTACAGTGGTGTTATTAATGTGTAATTATTTTGTATTTTTCAGTATTTTCGTTATAAAAAAATCATAACTTTCCATAGAACTGTGGTTCGACTTCGACACGTACCAGCGACGTTCTGCTTCTAGCGTGTGTGACATACGGTCAGCCTAATTCTTTTGTGAGAGTTTTTGTTGTAAACTAAAAGTAAAAGCGTATAATATGTAAAGTTTATCGTGAGTGGCTGGGTAAGGCAATAGGGAAATCATAAATGATTTCCAGTTTTATGATATTCCACAATTTGAAGATTCGTTCTTCTAGGCAACAGTAGTTGCTAATACTACTACAACTAGTAGTAGTATCTCTTGTGACTTGTATCAGTAGCTTAGCCTACATTTTAGAACAAAATGCAATGTAACTGAACTCAACGTTGGACAATTAAAACATAAAGGGACTTAAATTTAATTCTTCAATTCCTTGTCAAAGGTAAGGATTCAGATAAAAATTATTTTATTTATATTTGTGATGGATAGATAATGTATTAAAGAATGTATTTTTATACTGTTCTTTCGGCTAGTGTAGGTTAATTTTGTGCGAAAACTTGCATGTTATGCAATTAATAAAATTCGGTTACAAAGGAACAAAATACAATCCATACTAATGATAATATTCGGTAGGTTGAAACCTCAGAAGACTTAGTTTAAGATTAAATGGTTGAAGACACCCTGATTTAAACGAAAACTTGTATAAATGTATGCAATTAAAAGAACGACAGGACAGTATTATGGAAGTATCGTTCTATCCTCCTCATCCAACTTGTTCGAGCCTGAAGGATAATACAGGCGTACCATGTTTTACATTCAACGTTTAAGGAAGATAATAGCGAGCGAATATTGATAAAAATTTGCATATGATAGATTTATAAACTAAAGGTACTCATAGTCGTACCTCAATTTCAAAATAACAGCAAAACTGTGAAGTATAGTAGACAACTTTTTATACGTTAATACTGAGTATGAATGAAAGAAAGATAGACAGAAGGACAAAAGAACAAGTTGAAACAGAAGAAGTGGAGAGATTATAAATTAATCAGATTTTATTTAAAAAATTATGGTTTCGATTGTATAAATTAGTTATGTTAACAGGGGCTTGGGTATAAATCTATAAAGAGGAATACTATTGAAGGGAAAAATGAAATTAGTGGTGAAGCCATACTGGGGGTCTGGCAGCATACCCTCTCGGAAAAAATTTAGTAATTTTTACAGAAAATGTTACGTAATGACAGTATCTGAGGCTATTTTTATTTAGGTATGTCTTATATGGGTACAGTTTAGGGGGTACGATCTCGCCCGTACATCTCTCGCGAGCATGATGTAAGAAAGAAGTAACAAAATAAGAGAAGATGGATACCAAGCAGGGCCAGCTTGGACTGCAGGGATATGGAGACATTTCCCTGTCGACTGCTAGGTCGGTAAATTGGCCATCGTATCGAATTACAAAAACAAAGTGTAAATGAAGTCACTATGTCGGAAGAGTTTAGGTCAATAACGATCAAAAAAGACATTCTTTACCACATAGACACAATCAACTGAAGTGTTGTACTGCGAAAAGAGCTTTTTTTTTTCCAGGCGAATTACGCAGTTATATGTTGTATTTGCAAAGAATGAAACACAAGAGAAAAAAATTATAGTGATTTTATAATGTTAACAGAGGGAAAAACTATAATATAGTGCATATAACCTCATTTTCACAAATTTGTCAAAAAAAAGTAATTGGTTTTAACTCCCTAAACGTCATCTCCATCAGGGTAAAAAAAACTGAACCCGGAATCGTCAGCCATTTTTATATGAATTGATATTTATGGTAACCGTGTTACTTCAATATCGTATCCGTAACCTCAACTAAAAGTACTTGTAGGGGGCGTAAAAATAGTTTAACCAAGTAATCGAAACTTACTTGTACTTTAGAATTATTTTATTTATAAAAGATCGTCAATAATATTTATTGCTAGTATGCTCATGGAGGGATCGTCTGGTAAGATTCGACACTGATAAAACTTCCTATACCTTGTCCAAGTTACCTGATTGAAATGGCTTGGACATGATGGGAGACTTTCTTAAGTCCAATAGTTTTTATGAAACACTGACAATACTGGAAAATGAAAGAGACTTCTAAAATATCAGTAGTTATTTAAACCTACACTGCATATTTCTCAATCACACTTTACTTAAAAACCTAACATGGCATCTTTTGTCACGTGTTTGTATACTTTAAAGAGTGTTATAGCTGAAATATTTTACATTACACGCATTGTAGAAAATAGAGTACTCATTATATCATCTACTGAAAACAAGGCCCACAGAAAACTAAATATCTTGTTTCCCAAATTCCCCTAATAGGAATGTTTCACTTTAGAGGAAGGGGTAGCTGATACGTGAATGGGGAGGTGATGTACTAAAAATAAAACTTCCTTGTTGCTCACAACAACCGTGTCGTTTGAATAGCAACGATCGACTTTTTTATTAGTACTTAAATAAGATACTTTACAACACGTCACGGCTGTCTTATACACTAAAATTAACCGCTTTTTTTTTTGTTGGTCGAGCTTCGAAAATGTTATACGCATGTCACGCGCGTGTTTCCAGGAGCGTGCCAAGGAAGTAATGATTTTCGTTATGACGAAGCTCTGCTTCGTACGAAAACGCAGTTGATGTGAATGAAGTGAATTGGCGAAGCAGTGGAGTTGTAAAAAAGACAACTGATAATCAAGTTAACAAGGGAGAGTCCAGAAATCTCCTGACAGACGCATGTTTTCACAATCAGGGTTTTATGTTATAGTAAAATGTGATAATCCTACATAAACGATGCAATTGGCCCCTTTCATTCACCAACTGTATGTAACAAGAACTTATTTTTTGCTTGTCCCGTTAACAAAGGGAACGGCGTTCTTCTTGCCTCCCCAATTCGAGTACTGGAGTAGATTAGTATTGTTGCGTCAGCGAGATCACGTGACTATTCTCACGCCCTCTGCTTCCTAGAACTTTCCTGTACCTTGGCGAATGCTCTCGCATTTACTAG